GCCCCCAGAGTTCTGTCTGAGAAACTTGTCTGTATGAGATCTATTTATATAGTTATAGATTTAGGATTTAGTAATTCTTTTAATTAATAGTTGCATTAAATACTATACTTTTTGTAATGCAGAAAGTATAATCAGCTTATATACACTGGTTAGTTTGTTATTTACTATATTTTTTCCTATGCAGCTAGCAACTTGATAATCATTGGGAACAATCCTCATAATTCAGATGAAAAATGGATGGGACACCTTTATTTTCAATCGACTACTTCTTTTTCCCCCTCCTGTGGAAAAATTTATATTATAAACTAGGGTTGTCACGATACTTAACTTTTCAACTCGATACCGATACCAAGGAAAATATTTGATTTTCGATACCATTTTCGATACCAAAAGGATAAAAACAAAGACTCCAAAATTCAACAGAAATATTTTCATTAATAAATAAAATACAATAAATAAATACAATAAACAATAAGAACAATATTTTGAGGTTGTATGCTGTGCACAATATTAAGCAAGCTTGATACAAAACTTGTAAAATTTCAATTAAGTGTTCCTTCCTTGGCTATGCTTTGCACAATGACACTAGCCAAACCGGTTAAGAAACAAAAATAATTCTCAGCAGCTGCACCTCTTACAAAAAAAAAGTCTGAAACTGAAAAGTGCGTAGAATTATTTATTCACACAGTGTTCTGAAAGTGCATTTTCCTCTATTCTGCAATTTAGATGAATGACTGTTCATTCTGTATCGATACTTTTAAAAACGAGTATTGTATCCGGATACAACGTTTCAGTACGGATACTTTTTTGAGTATCGATACTTTTGACAACCCTATTATAAACAGACAAATCTGTATTAATTGTAAGCAAAGCCAAAATCTAGAAATCCCCTTTCAGCCAGCTGGCCAGCAGTGCACAGCAACAACAGAGGAAGGGAGCAGTACTCTGTTATTCTGCGCTCCGATCGCTTGGGCACTTCTCTTACATCCAATTAGATAGACTTTAATTGAATACATTACATCTACTGTATAGAACTCTTTCTTTTGGGGAAAAGAAGGCTAGAAAAAAGACTAATATTCCTTTGATGCAGACCATAAATGTCCTTCTCTCACTCAATGTCACAGGTTTACAGATCAACCCTTTGGAATACTTCACTACTGAGCAAGATAGCCAGTTCTGTTAGTTCATATGACTGCCATAAAAAGGACTTTATGTATATTAAATCTTTAGAAACGGATTAATTCCTGAGTAAAATCTAAAAAATATGTTCTTGACACAGCATAATTTTTGTCACTGTGGTAAATATTAACTTTACATTTGGAATATTAACCAGTCTATTATCATGATTTAGTTTTGAGATCGCATCAAATCAAACCATGATAATTGAAGTTAACATCAAAGGAAAGGTCAGTTTGTGATTCTAGTTAATCATGAAAGGACAGTGATGTTTTTCTCATGTGCATATTACTCAGCTTTGCTTCGTCACAGTGACTAAACAGAGGATGTGCAATTTCACCCCGCCGTGTGCTGATTAATAACACTCACGCCGTTAGATCTGATATCTGTATTGCACCCTATATGAGTTTAGATTTATATCCACCCCCGACAGGTTGTTATTTGAACATGAAGAAGCAGACATCCGGCCCAATATCAATCCCACCCTGTGGGCATGCGGTGAGTGAGCAGCATGACTTTTCACTCATGAGACAGACATGGACTGATTGTGATTCCAGCTGTGAGCATGTTTAGTAATAACAGCGTATTTCCACGTGAGTCTAATGAGCAGAGTCCACACATTTTTTTATGTTTATAAAAAGAGGAACATTTTATGGAAACATTTTCTAAACAATGGTTCATTGAACTAGCCGATCTCACTGCTCTTTGTAAAAGGCCCAGCTAACTACTTTGTTCAGCAACTCAGTGCTTTATCAAGTAACAAGCTTTCACCATCTTGCAGTTTAACTGTTGATTTGAAATCTTGCCAAAAATCTATAAATACGTGCTGTTTAAAATGACTTTAAACACCTATGTTTACTGTTAAGTATACATGTTTTTTTGTAAGAACTAGATGGGGGTGGCAGGTTCTCTCCACCTTTATCATCGGAGATGGAGATTGCGAGAAAAGAGAGGAAGCCATCCGCCCTAAGCAGAACTTATTTAAAATGCTGGCTAAGAGATCATGTCTGACTGCTCCCTCCTCTCACATATGGTGGCTCTCGTTTATCCAACCCAAAAACTCTTAATGAACAAAAATGAGTCTGCTTTTATGTCTTCTGAAATATTGACAGAAAATATATATCATTTTATAATTTTGTAATTGAAAGATTAAGCATTTTCCTTTCTTTTTCCAATTTTACAGTTTTTTTATTTTCTAATAAATGTTTATTTGAAGTTTTTTTTAATAACGATCATAGTATTTTTTTGAATAACAGCATAGCATTATACACTTTGGGTATATGATGCAGATGTGTTTTCATCAAATTTAATTTGCTTCACTGTAGACTTTTATGATGTAGAAAATCAGGATTTATTTTCATTTTCCATTATAAAAAAATATTTTAATTGATTTTCAGTCCCAAAGCAAACCACCATGTTTAAGATGAACAAGTTGGCAGAGAGCAGCTTCCAAGGATAGAGACACTGAAGGCAGTTTCTTTGGGTTGTTTTTATACATCGAGGAAAGCCAATACCATAAATCAGGTGCAATAACCCTGTTTAAAAAAGATGGCTTTTAGACACAAAAGCAGGAAAACACACATTTGCCATCTCAAAGCGATGGAAGGGCAAGATTTGTGTACAAAAAGTAAACCTGTACAATAAATTGTGTTTTGTCTTTTAAACTGTTTTTATAATGTTTTTTGTTTGCATTCACATAAATGTAATGGTGTGATAACTTAGTATACATTTAATTGGCTTTTGGAATTTGTCTATTTTGAATTTATAGCCCCCCTGGAGAAAACTGCACCAACCACCACTGCGTATATCTATTATCCCTTACATGTTGCTACAACTAAAATAATAGCAACATATCAGTACTTTTATAGTTCAAAGACTTAAAAAAGTGTACTTTGTTTCAAAAGCAAGTTTAAGGAGCCTTAATTGTAACTCAGAAATATCTGTACAGTATACTGTCAAATTGTAAGTCTGCACTTGCTGTGTCAAACACACAATGCTGTGAACTATTGTTTTTATACCTTTTGTTGTTTTAAAAGAAATCTGTGTATGTCCATCTAGCTTTTATGTCAGATTAATACTAACAGCTTAATTTTGCAGTAGTTAGTACTATCCTTATCTTGAATCTTGAACACAGTACCATTATCAAATGCAAAAAAATACAGCTAGGTATTTTGTTTTCTGTCTACAACACTGATAAAATCCAAAAACATTGACTTTGTTAATACATTTCAGCTAAAAGACATACAACAATAATAATTAGATTGAATTCTTTATTCCAATATTTACAGCAAGCTGACATTTTCTTGTAAAATCTGATGGCACTTCAAAAATGTTAGCCTCAAGCAGAAGAATAGTGTCTTCTCATGAAACACCCTGCAAGAATAATTAGAAAGCTCACTTCTTTTTCTTCCTTTTTACAAGAGTTCACCTCCTGCTAGGCTTCAAATATTAATGGAAGGGTTTTATTTTAGAGCCAGGAAGGTGACCTTCAATGTGTGTCTCTCTGTAGTGAGAGTAATACTCCGGTTTCAACAGCTACAATCGCTTTCAGGTCATTCTTAGTATTTTCATTATTTGCTACTCTTTATCTCATCAAAACAGTCTTTTAACATTTCAATGCATGTAAAGGGGCAGGTAAAACAGGAGATTAATACAAGGTATTTGATTAAAAAAAAAAAAAATTGTCAGAGATTTGATGTTTTAAACATAGGCAAGTAAGATTCTAAATTTTGCACTATAGAACCGATTCATGTCCATTTTAATAAAGCAAAAATATAAATGTTCTTGAAAAATAAAAAGGAATAAAGAAAACTCTTCGTTATATTTCATAGTTTGCATTAAGAACCAATACACATCAGCAGAACAACTGTTTAAGGTGATTTCAGATTGATTATCATCATGATTGACAACCTATTAGCTCAAGCAGCCTTGGACAAGTTTTGCAGTTGATGGCAGCGGTTTCTAGAAGTTCACAGTAATGTCTTCCGAAATTATACTATAGTACAATATTTTTTAGCTGTATAAGTAGCAGATCGGTCTCCATTTTCACAAATACACATATGTGATTCATATATGCACAGGACAAGATTCACCAAAGTGTGCTTATGTGTGTGAAAATTGAGACCGATTTAGCTCCATACTGTTGTACAAGTTTAAAATAAAGTGGGGAAAAAAACACAGCCATATTTTATTTTGTAAATATTTTCAATACTCATGAAAAAAATGTCTGGCAAGTAATTTTTATCTTTGTGGTAAAGAGGCAGGCTTTAGTTAGGCAGAGTCTGATATTAAGCTCTGATGTTTCAGTTTCCTAAATAAACTTGCAATGGTGTCATTGTATTTAGAGCAGTCTGAATATCTGGAGGAATCAGAACTATTAGCTTTTTAACAGATACTAAAACCGGAAGATAGTCTGCAAACCAGAGCTGAAAAGACAGCAGCATTTTACTTAAAGTGCTATGTTAAAGGGGAACAATTCCACTTTAGAGCACACAGTTTTATATATCTGCAAGCAGTTAATGTCTGATATCATACTTGGTATATCAGAAATAAAATCTTAGCAATTAAGCTTATTTCTAAACTGATCAATTTGACTTTATGGTGAAACATCTAATCTAAAATTACCTTGTTATTTATACACTATTTGGTTATTGGTTTATTTCCTTCCTGCGCTCTTGGAATTAATAGAGGAACATCATTTATATCTGGCAATCACATCCACACAAATTGGAACATGAATCTCAGAGCCAGGTCATCAGTGGGGCAGGGTTTTCAAAGCAGAACCCTGCTACAGTTAAACTAAACTTATATTAATGTCTCAACAGGTGCAGGAGAATCTGGGAAGAGCACCATTGTAAAGCAAATGAAGTAAGTTAAGAACCCTATTATTATTTTTTTTATTTTATTTTATCTCCATGTCCTTTTCTGGCTTATTTTGAGTAATGGGTGAGATACTGTAAGTTGAAGTAGCAATAGTTTTGAAGCCCTTAAAATCCTGTTGTCTTTTGATGGAGTGTTAATGTTTTTTTTACATTGCAAGCAATATGAATTGTTGTGAGATTTGTTAATTCCCTAACTCCAGATTTTGCTAGGTTATTGTTTCTTATGATGAGTAAGAATTTGAATTGAACTTTTGTAGATCTCGTTTTTAGTTTTACTACTTTATATTTTCATAGGTACTTTTAAAGAAGTAAAGATTGTACAACATCACTTATCTTTTGTATGTGTTTTCTGATTGTACATTTTCAAACACAGAGTTCCGACTACGTCGTTTGATATGTTCATTTTGGATTCTTGCAATACGGTTCCCAGAAACATTTTAACCACTTTTTGGGATTTATGTCCGTGAGAAAAGTCTGTGATCACAGAAGCACTTGTTATTTTTGTGAATTCAGTAAAGCCATACACCCCCCTCCCCCCCAACACACACACACACACACACACACACACACACCCTCTGAGGAAACTAAATTATGCACATTCCTCAGGGCTAACCAGGCACTGTATCTATTTATTATGAATCTAAGTGGAAACACTTCATTGTTTTTGGAATAATTAAATTAATACATTCAGCCACATGTATATAAATCAACTTGTTAAAAAAAAACACAAGACAACCCCCTGTTGTGTAACATTACACACAATAATAGCCTGTAGGAAGTTAGAAATGCACAGTGTTAAAACAGCTTAGAACGAATGAGGCCTCATCATGACTTGCCTCTGGTCATCATTAATCACTTCAGTGTTTTCCATCGGGCAGCCTGACTTTAAAATGAATAGAAAATTGTATCAGATTGCTCTCTCAGCATTTTGTTTTGCAGCATGATGTATTTGATGGGTAAACACTTCCATCATTCCTATGCTTACAATTACAGTGCTGCATAAGGTGGACTCGGCACAATGCATCAGCTGAATCCTGCCGAGATGATCTAGTTCAACAACATGGTTGCCAAATTTATTCACATCTTTTACATTAACCAATGACAGGGTATCCTAGGCAATCTGGAATACTATTTCAAATATTGTCTCTTGGTCTGCATGAGCAAGAAGAGAGAAATGCAAGTATGAACATAATATTTCAATTCAATACTTCATTACTTATTCCATTGTTAGAAAGTCCCATATGTCCGTTCATCCATCCATCCACAGCCCTGTTTTTCTTGAGCGGATATTTTTTGCTTTGTATTGCTTATTTCTAATAAGCAATACAAAGCTTCCCATATTTTTATCTTAAATATTTCAGTATTATGGTTGCCATTTATATATTTTTTTATTTATGCATGACTGGGAGTAGTGCCGGCACTGCATCCATCTTTCCATGCAGCTGTCCATCAGTCTATCCCTAATCTTTAAAGTGTCTTACATAAATTTCGAATAAAGTGTTGTATTTGGACTCTAACCAAAGCATTCAGGACTGCAAACTGATTTAGACTTGGAAATGTACTTATTTTTCTTAGAAATTGTAAGAAATCTGATAAGGAATCAAGGAAATTATACAGAATAACTTTTGCTATCAAAGCAGAATGTGTTCATATTTTTTAATCTGTAACTTTATACTGCAACCTATGTAATTCTAAATATCCATACTGCTAATTCTTACTTTATCAAATTCTTTATTTAACAAGTACCTGCACTTGCTGATCAGATGAGACTTTGCTCTGTACTGTAATCATCAGTTCAACCAGTACATGTTTTGCTCCTTTTCTCTTTGTCAATGGAATCAAATGCGTCCAGTTGCTTAATCCTTGTTGACCCTCAAGCAGAGGACTAGTGTGCACCATTGCTTGTTCTTATGCGTTACTGTTGTGGCAGATTATTGACTGGTTACATGGATGGTTACCCACCTATTACCACTCATTTCTATTTTAGGCTATTAGAATCAATACTGGAATTGGTGAGGCACTAAATCATCGACCTTTTGATCAGTCATGGCCAATGAACTCTTTAAGATATATCTGATTGTTGGCCACAGCCTTGTTAACCATATGTTCACTGACACATGGTGTTAGAGCTATATATGCTAATGGTGATTTAAAAAAAAACAAAGCCCTTTATAATTAGTATCATCCAAAGTAAAAAAAATTGTAAAAACAAAACAAAACAACAGTAAAACAACCTAAAATAAATGATTGTTTCAGTGCGTTTCAGTAACTGCACCCCACACTTGAAAGGGCTGGACCCATGACTTTAAGAGTATAGCTGAATTTACTCAGACAAAACAGGTGAGACTTTTTCCATTCTTTTTATTTCCCCATTTTGTGGTCAATCTTAACAATAGTCAGGTAAAAACCTTAGAACAGAAAGACAGGATTGTTAATGAACATATAATATTCAGGACACACAAACGATAAATGAATTTAAAATACTTGAATCAATCGAATATTCATATACACATAACCATTTTTAAAAAATGTACCACAATATTGCACCTTGCCCAGACATTTAACCTTAAATACCATACAACACAACCCAATAAAGCACAACATGGATACACATTTCCCAAATTATTTACACCACTGCAGCCATTTTCATATCAAGCAGCACAAATCAAACGAGGAGGACTCCGCTCAAATTACACATAATAAATTAAAGAGCAGTAGCTGTAAGATCCTATAAAAGTCAGATTTCTTACCGGCGGCCTCTTCAGTTTTTTGCCATGGGACTTCAATTCTCTTCAGCTAGTTTTCAGCATGAGTCTCTTACACAATTTGCAAGATATTAGCAGCTGCTTTCCTAGGTGTCATTTATGCCTTCACCAATGTGAGGCAAAGCACTAATAGCCCTGCGCTGGGCTGCCACCATTAGCAGGTTAGTGCAACAATTGTTCTACCTTTTTGCTTTCTGACCTCAAAATGCTTCACTCTGCTTCACTCCTCTAAAATGGATGAATGGTTGGATGGACAAATTCAGGATAATGATCTGAACTAGAGCTCAAAGATTTCCAACCTTAGTGTTTTTTGCTCAAATTAATGAAATATTAAATCTATTTTTTATATCCTGAATTAGAACAGCGAGTCTGACATGAGCCCACCCACAAATTAGGAACTCTATTATATTCCTCTGTCCTGGTGATAGAAACAGATACATTTGTTTGGATAACAGATGTATTTGTGTTTAAAACCTTACCTACACGTTTTCCTAAATTAATGTTTAAAATGCAATTTTCAGTGGCGATTTCTTTAATCTTCTCAGAGAGAAGTAAGCTTAAATGAAAAAGGTAAACCTGTTATGAGTTTAATGCTTAAATTTAATGCTTTTAATTTGTATTTCTCATTTAGAAAACTTTGCTTCTTCAAAGGTATTTTTTTATTATGTTTAGTGTCTGTTAGAGTGTTTACCTTATAAGATCATAAAAAAAATAGAACTTGGTTTGATTAATGATAAATATAAAAAATAATTAAAATATAATTATTTTCAAATGGAGATGAATATGAATATATACAGACGCCTGATTTATGCTTGACGTCTCTGTGACGTCCCTGCAGCCAAACTACATTGAAAATTCAGATTTTCATGAACCACCATCAATGTTAAAATTGAAATGATAATCCCTTGCTTCAAAGTTGGACCACTGCTTTCATAAATAATGTATGCTCCAAATATCCACCACTACAACAAGAGCAATGCAACAAAAACTCTAATTTTCAAGCAATACCCCAGTAATAATAATACCTAAACCCACACCAACAGCTCGTTTGCTTACTTCGAGATGTGTGATGATTGAAATTGAAACTGCTGCCTACTCCCTGAATATTTCGGCAAATAATTACCTGACCATTTGGGGAAACTCCTTTTATTCCAGATTGTTAGATGATCCTCTATTGGCCATGTCTGGATGAAAGCACTACCATTGATTCATAGTGAGGCTTTTGAAATAATGTCCACTGTACACACCCTTTACAGTCACCACTCTGGCTCCAATTAAAAGGATCTCGCCAAGTAACTGAAACCATTTACATAATAAGTAAATAAGGTGTTCAGTCAAATATTAAATTTCTTTAATATGCTATTACGAATGATGTAAGAGGTTTAGAAATACTATTACTTAGATACACATCTTAAATCCAGGGTTTGTTGGATCCATTTATACTTCCACGCATACAGGTGTCCTTTTCTTCTTTTTTCCTGCCTGATTGTACTATGTATGTTCAGATACTTTTTTTTCAATGATGCTTCAGTATTCTAACCATAGCAGAGCAGTAAAACAGGTATGAGGCATTAATTTAGAAAAGCATCTTCAAAAGGTTTTAACTTTTGCATTGAAAAGTTGGCCGTCAATTTTCCCTTATATAAATACAATGTTTTTCTGATATTTTAGGATTATTCATGAAGACGGCTACTCAGAGGATGAGTGTAAGCAGTACCGAGCTGTTGTTTACAGTAATACCATCCAGTCGATTATGGCCATTGTCAAAGCCATGGCCAGCCTCAAGATAGACTACAGTGACCCTGCCAGAGCGGTAAGACACACAAAACTAATATTTTTAAATATTGTATATATGCACCTAATTTATTTGAATCTTAAATTAAGTTATTGTTAAGGCGAAAATAGCTGATAAAGATGTTCCTTTTGCCTCAGCAAAACCTATTTTATCCACACCTTTTTTTTTCTTTGTGTGGTTCAGACTTTAAAGCTCAGAATATGCTCACCCTTAACTGAATCCCTCTGTATTTAGCTCTATTTTCTAAACTCTCTCCACTCCAAACTTAGCTACAGCTGTGTTGCTTGGTTGGTTACACTGGAGCAAGGATTTTCCTCCATGACCTGGACCTACCCTTGTGAGATTTTGTGAGCAAAGATTATTTTAAGGCTGTGGCACCTCTGGGAAAGCAAGCAGGTCTATTTCTCACATCTTCCTGGCAACTCATGTCGAGTCGATAACACAGGGAAGCTGTTCTAGTAAAACAAATGTGGAATCATGCGGTTTTAGCATGCAACTGTTCACAGCAGCCTTTTTTTTCCAAATAGACATTGATGTGGTAAAAACTGGAACATGGTGTGATCTTTCTCTGATGTATCTCTGTAACCTGCAGGGAAACAATGTCTGCCTTACTGAATTCATCATCTCCTCCATCTTTAATCTCCTTTCTCTAAGAGCTGTAATTGACACGTTAGTTTGTGACTTAACATAACTATGTGAAGCAACTGCAGCAGCAGTAGCTTATGAGTCTTCTGGGGATTGGGTTTGTTCAGAAGTACTATCAGAAGCTGCCTGCAGCATCAGCAGATGGATTCATTTATAACCTGCTGAATTCGCCCAGCTATAGTAGAAAACATAGTCACATTGTTAAATTTCCTCTTTTTCAATTAAGCTCATGGTAACCTTGCCTATATGTCTCTCACAGGCTTAAACTAAAACATAAAACTGATGTCACTCATTTTTCAGAATAAAAAGAGCTTTGATTTCATTTTTCTTTTTTCTGCACATCTGATGCAACAAATAATGAATCTCTTTACCCTCGTTTCACTTTTTTTTTTTTTTTTTTTTTTTAAATCTAAACATCTGAATAACTAAATCTAAACAGATCAGTGCTTTACACACAAAATAATTATATTAGCAAATAAGAGCTAAGAGATAATAATTAAACTTTATTGATCACACATTGGAGAAACTTACCTCTGCATTTAACCCATCGCCTTGGGGAGCAGTGGGCTGGTTACATGGGGCGGCCGGGGCGCAATTAGGGTTTAAGACTCTTGCTCAGAGACCCAGAGTTTCAGTGTTTGGTGAGGTTTGAGGACCCAAATGCAGAGGCACAGGCACATGAACACAGGTAACAGAGGCAGGAATCCAAAAATACAACTTCCCTATGAGGAACTGCACAGGAAGAGCATTTATGGACAAAGGGAGGACTAACGAGCTGATTGGGAGCAGGTGTGAACAGAGGCTTCTAGGAAAAGAGCTAAGGAAAAGGAAACCAACACAAGAGGGCAACAGAGGGAAACAAAGAAAAGCCTAAGAAGTAAAATTCTTCAAAAAACACAACAAAATAGGAATTAAACCTATAAAACTAGAAAACAAAGAAACATGAATTAACATGAAACTGAAAACTTAACAGAACCAAGACCATAACACAGAGTGGCAGTCCGTGGGAGTGGGTTTCAAACTTGCAACCTCAGGATTCCAAACTTTATGCCCTAACCACAAGGCCGCCACTCCCCCCGTAAATGATATTGTGAATGAAAGATGTATTATGATGAATGTTAAAAGGAAGCACATGTTTTTAGATTTGATCTAATTTAAAAAGGAAAATAAATACTAAGTTCAAAGAGCATTTTTAAAATGTTAAAAAGGAAAGTAGCTCAGAATTTATTAGGAAAAGGCTGCTGTGGTTTGGGCTTTTTAACTAAAGTAGCCTTTTCCCTTGTCATTTCACTACTTTTCTAATACATTCAGTGAGCTCTCATGTTCAGCCGAACCACTGAACCACCATTCTCCCATCAGCAGAGACTACAGCGATCCAATTTGATCCCGTTTTAATCTGAGGTATTGTATCCCTCAGAATAGATTTATCGGCCCCCGTGTCACACAAGAATTTTACTTTTACTCCTTGAATGTTTAAATGCCAGTATGGTTTTTCTGATGTGTTTAAAAAAGAAAGGAAAATTTGCTGTAGGTCCAGGACCTCCACTGGGTCCACAATTAACTGCAATTTTTGCTGGGATCTGGACATTCTCGAGCAAAGTGGCCCTCCTTATCACAATTATAGCACCTATTGTGCTTTCTACGTGACCCCTTGTTTTTCCCCTGTGACCACAGGCCCCTCCCTTGAGCCCAATTATGGTCCAAACTACGCACAATCCACTTATTTAATCCCTCTTATTTTTTTATTCCCTGTATGTAGCTTGCATGACTAAAATAATTTTCTGGTGAATTATTAATTTTTAATTTTTTGGTTCCGAACCTAATAGTTTTGGAGACCCTGCAGGGGCATTAGGAAGGCTGTCAACTGGATCAATGCTGCAGTCACCGATCCACGGACAGACCCCCCCCAATGCTGCAAATTCAAGTTGTCTGCCTCTAAACTGTGTTTCATTATTTTTTGGATGCACAAACAACTTAAAAGACCCACAAACATAACTTTATGTTAATAATAACATATCTACTTTGCGCATGTATTATACCAACACCTCGCCATTTGGAGCTCATTTATTTATTTATTTATGTTTTGCACTAGTGCTTGTTTCTAGCCGGCACATAACATTTCTCCATGGATCTACTTCCACACACCATCTATTTCATACTCTTAACTTCCACTTCTACAAGTATTTTAAATTACTCTCACACAGTCATAACTATTTTAAGGCCTATTATATTTTATTATTTTAACCAACATAGACAAAAAACACCTATCGTTATGTGTACACTTTTGAGTCTCCAACTCCAGGCCCTCGCACGCACCGGATACCCAGATGCCGAATCTGTCAAATATAACTGCTGCGGCAGCTGCAAACCTTACTATCTTGAGAACAACACAGAGTCCCATACTCTAACGCACAGAATACCCAGATGCCATATCCGTCAACAAGACTTGGTCTCGTCAAATATTCTTGCGATTACAGCTGTAACTTAAATGGTCCTAGACCAACTTTTGATCAAAAGCTTCAGGCCTACCCTTTGTCGTGTAGAATCAGTTCCTCTGGAGTCGTCACCAAGATAACCAGGGCAAGGTTGGACCAAACTGGCCCCGTCCGGCGAAGGGAGGACAGCTGTCGACAGATTCTTGGCCTTGGTCCCACACGGTCCTGGACAATTGGATCTTGACTCCCGGGTTTCGGCACCAAAATGTCGGGTTCATAAAATGTAGGTTTTTGCAAAAGAAGAACTGAAATCCACAATTGTGAATACAATTTCTGCACAAAGGAGAGACAGTTGAACCCCAGACTCAAACACACTGTCTCCCAATGGACCTCCTCCGCAGAGTGTTTATTAACAGAACATGACTCATGGTTACAAACAGAGTATTGTTCTGACAGAACAATTGATCAGTTCATGAAGACAGAATGCTCCTGAAGTTTTTTTTTGTTAAAAGGCATACAGAAAAAAGTTTGTTATTTTTTTGTTATTAAACTATTTCAGACAATCCAGTAAAGTTACAGATTTGATAGATAGAAACATTATGTGTAATTAATTATTTGTATAAATGCTTATATCTGAATAGGGGTATGAAGAAGTGAAACTGAATTAATCATACCCCTTCCATCTCCTATTTTCCTAAATACCAATAATCTTCAAGATTTCTACTTTACTTATGATTCCATACAGCTCTGAAGACCATTAAGTGAGCAAATCAATTTAATTATGTGCATAAAAACAAAAATTCACACATTAACATGTGCCTACATCCATCTTCATTCTCATAATTATTATCTATAGCCTACATTACCATAACCCTTGCAAAAACTTTGCACAGACACTAAGAGTCCCTGCTAATGGTCTCTGTCCTCAGCCTGAGCCTTTTCCATAAACAGTATCATAATTGGACATTGCTTTAATTCAACAGTGTTCCATGTTTTCACAATATTTTTTGAATTGCACATTCTTTTCATGGTTATTCGAGGACAGGAAATGTATACTGTCCTTGCAAATATATCCTTCCTCTCTCTTAAAAGGACGTTTTCATTTTCTGTCTGGTAGCTATTTTTTTCTACCTTTATACATTCCTTGTAAAGTTTAAAATTTCACAAGATCAAAGAATTTAAACGATTTAAAATGTTTGGCTACCTTTTTATGCTAATCTGTGGAGTGTGTTACACTTCTTGCAATGCTGTTCTGTTGTTAACAGACAGGTTTTGTGATGGTGGTGCAGTTTCTAGCACTGTTGCCTTCCAGCAAAAAGGTTCTTGGTTTGATTCCCAGCACAGGATCTTTCTGAATGGAGTTTGCATGTTTTCCTTGTGCATACGGGGCTTCTCACTAGGTACTCTGGCTTCCTCCCACAGTCCAAAAACATGACTGTTAGGTTAATTGGTTACCATTGGTTGGTTCGACTTGATAGATTGGCTGTTTGGGAATCCTTCTGGACCTGGCAATTTAACTCGTGCTTCCAAAGCAGAGTTTCTGTCTGCTGCTGGAGAGGTAGCACATGTGTTTACCTGCCTGCAAGTGGTCAGACTGATTCGATAAGAGCATCCGGAGGGCATGGGGGTTCACATTTTCACAGTGCTTTTCTCATATATTTGTGCAACAATGTGAGGAAGGAGATAAATGTGGTAAACACTGTTTCCATGGCTGTTACGCTCATTAAAAGTCAGTGTTGACTATGCACCCATAAAAAAAATGTAGGGGGTACAAATTTGAGCATAGCAGCCGGCTACACTAAAATACATTTGCCAGAGTATTTTAATGGACAAAGACATTTACTGATTCTTTATATAAACATTTTATGACCTTATATTGTGGGGAGTATAAGGTCAATCTACCAGAAATATGTCTCTTTGTGGGGAACTATAGGAATGGTTATCTTCTTAGGTTGAGTGTTAGGTTTTGCACTAAAGTGTGTACTCAGTTTAAGTTAGGTTTGGGGTTAAGTACTAGGTAGTAACTAGTTACATTTACTCAGTTACATTTCTTAATAAACTTTAAAAAAAAAACTGCTAGGAGTAATTTTACAGTATTATACTTTTTACCATTGCTTAAGTAAAGATATGATAAAGTAGCACTACTTTTCCCTAAGTAAAGCTTTTGGTTACTCTACCCACCTTTGCATAACAGTAAGTGATCGATTAGGGTCTGGTTTAGGCCACAAAAATGTATACGCTTTTGCAAATCCTGCTAAATACCCTTTTGAGGATAGTGGAGCACAGCGTGTGTGCGTGTGTGTGCGTGTGTGTGTGTGTGTCTGTGATACTTTCCTTTTTCTCCCAAACCTATCTGTTAAAAGGCTGTGTGTACGTGATGGCACTCTCACACTCCTACGCACACCAATTAGCACGTTAGCCTGCCTGCACTTGGATACATCAGCTCTGGTGAGAAGTGCACAAGCGCAAGCAAACTAACAACAGGCTTTGCCAGTTAAAACAAACCCAAAAATGTCTGAGAAATGCATTTTTACACTGTCCTTTACCAAATTTGGTTTGATTATATAGTTCAGGTGAAGAAGCATGGAAAGTTCAAATAAATGCATTTCTTTACAACAGTAGTAACAGTATTAGTAGTAGTAGAGGCAGTATGCATTAGGCCTACTCTGGTTGTTAAAGTTGAATACTTTGATGCCAACCACTAATGGTGTATGTGACTAGGCATCACCACAACAAGCTATATAATTAGTAAGGGTTAATTATATAGTTACCAAATTCATGATAAATCCGACAGTTTTCCTGGAGATGACAAAGAAGGCAATTAAATGCAATAAAAAGATCTGTGTAACAATATCTGTATATTTAACAAGAACTACTAACATAACAAGCTTCTATGGCTATAGCATATAGCTGTAAATATAGTTATAATTTTCTCTCTCTCTGACATTTCTTGCTCATTTGATTTTAACGTGCGATACACTCCTGTAAAAAAATTTCTTAAATCTTAATTTGCACAAAACGGTTCAAGTATCCAAAGCTTAAGAATATACTTTCACTTTGTTTAACAGCACAGGACATTTATATGGTGCAAATTCCCTCTTTATTAGACAATCAAAGATTTAATGTTTAGCTCAGTGAAAAAGGTCTCTAGATTGTATAAAAAAAGAAATAAATATTTATGGCATCAAGTTTTTATTTCTTCTTAAGTTTCAACTTCACACGAGTAACTGATTTGTTTCTTTTTATTTTTTTATTTTTATTTTTTTTACATATTATACATACTAGGTAATATTTCCTCTTGTTTGGAAGCTAAAAAAAGGATATTTATTCTGAACAAATATTGTTCCTATTAGCAGCCCAGTTTCGAAATGTCATTGCCTCTCCTGCAGGATGATGCCCAGCAGCTCTTTGCACTGGCTGCAGCTGCAGAGGAGCAAGGCATTCTTCCTGAGGACTTGGCCAACGTGATAAGGCGATTGTGGGCCGATAGCGGCATACAGAGTTGCTTTACAAGGTCACGTGAATACCAGCTCAACGACTCGGCAGCCTAGTAAGTATGGATTTGTGTTTCCTTTTTAAAGTGTAGTATCAAATAAATTCACAGTGTTGCCTCCCATCTGATTGTTCTGATGGGTGTTAGCTGCCACTATATGCATCAAAACCTGTGCCTTGTGCTTCTGGAGAGGTTTTGTATAAACTCTCATTTTACAATATACCTGTATAATGATAGTAATGAAAATGCCCTGATGATATTTTATGCCTGCAATGGATTTATTGTTTTATTGAAAATTTTAATGTCTGTTTTATAAATGGCTGTTCAAAAGTGCTGCCTCAGAGGAGGTGTTTTGCCTGGCATTGCAATGGATTCCATTTGCAGCCTTGCTAATATAAGCTGCTGTGAAAACCTCTCAGAGGGAGTAAAGCAGAAGGAGAAAAATGGCCATTAACTTCCATTTAGCCATTATTTTTTCCTCTATGGACTTTAATATTGAAAAGAGATAAAAAGATAAAGAGGTCTTTCTTAAAGGGTTAGAAAAAATGATGTTTTCTTAAAGAGTCATAGTTTCTATTCTCTACATTACATGTTTCAGACCTGACATCTCATTAAATATTAAGCTGTAAGGCAGAAACAGGGAGATCAATGATGGAGATATTCATTTCTTTTTAAAAGTGCAGGATGGCTGGACACCTAGTGCTTCTAGTTGGTTTAGAAGATGATGCAAAACTTGTGCAAGTGGGTCAGACAGTGTGTGTGGGAAAAATACTTCTATGGTCCCTGCTAACCAGCAATCTGTATAGTAGTCTGTGGTTTTTAACAAGCAACAGAGGATCCCCAAATGATGTTGATTATTGAATGGATTATAATGAAATTCATTCTAAACATGGCAGATGTTTTTTTCATGCTGTAAGTGATCACAATTTTGCATCTTTTGAAGGTATCACACAGACACTTCCAGTTTGATGTCTGCTGCCCTATTTTCTACAAGCAGTAAAACTACACCTTTACTTGGATTTTAAAATGGAAGGAATGTTAAAATATTGGCAAAATGAACAACAAAAAAGCCTGTATTATGAAGATAATTTTTACTTCAAGAACATCAGATGCAGTTTGCACAGTTTTCCAGATTTAGGATGCTACAAATATGTGCATATCATCTCATTCATATTGTTGATCAGTATGCCTAATGTTGCCAATGAAAGTGAATGATTTTTTTGTGTGCAAAACCTCTTCGTGTACAAACAAATTGCAAAGTGACAGAGTAGCGCATGAAAACCATTAGCAGCAACATTCAGCTGCATAGAAGGCTGCACAATCAATCCTGCCTACTCAGCGCTACACTCAGACTAAACACAAAACTTTCCCTGCAAAATATATATGCATAAGTGAGGACTTTTAATACTTAGAGACTGCTCTAAGATAGATGAACACAGACATTTAATATAGATTATTCTGCTAATTGCAGTAGTCATGCGCTTTATTTGCATGAATTACACCACATGTGGAAGAGTGATAACGTCTGCATGTTTATGTTTTTTTTAAAAACAGTTTTTAAAAAGTAAAATCTATGAAGATGACAAGCAAGTATGAAGATGGAGTGCTGATCTGATCGACCACTTAGTGTAATAGTCTAACCTGAAAAATACATATTTCTCAGGTTAGACTGCAACTAGAAACAGGTGGAGATATTGGCCAATCAATAATTTTGTCCAATACATGCTTTGTCTTGTATCGGTATCAGCTGATAGGTGTTTGGCCGATTCATTAGTGCATTCAGGAACCATGCTATTAAATTAATTGAAGCACATAGGTCACTCCCTTCAACTGCTATTTATTGTTAATTTTTTGTTTGATTTGTTAATAATTATTGAATATCTGTTTTTATCATTCACTGTCATTGTGTTATTTTTATCATGGAGGAATGGAGAAAGAAAAAGCAATGTGGGCTTCAAGGATCAGCACAGCAATTATCGGCAGCACATATTGGGGATCGGTTTGGCTAATGTTGAAATATTGTATATTGGCATCGCCCTCCAAAAGCTTGCACTGGTTGATGTCTAAGGGAAACTGCACAGTCATTAGTACTCAGGCACTCAAATGTGTTTTCACTCAGTTAGAGCTGCTTAGTGAAATGTAGAGTGCTTTGTGTTGCAGCTTAATGTACCTTTAATATACCTTACCCTACATATTTTTTATTTGTTTGCTGGTTTTGTCTTTCATTGTGATTTTTCTCTCTGTCTCATGGAATAGAGATCATGTTGAACTTATGATCACAGTTTTTGTCTGATAGTTACCTAAATGATTTGGAGAGGATAGCAAAAGCAGATTACATCCCCTCCCAGCAGGATGTTCTACGTACTCGGGTTAAGACGACTGGCATCGTTGAGACTCACTTCACCTTCAAGGAACTGCACTTCAAGTAAGATCATCATACAGTCACCTCATTGGAACAAAAAGGCAGACAAAATCAGTAATATTATTCTACTGTAAAAGTAGATTAACACATTTAGGAAATCTTGTAGCTGAGAGGTAAGTTGCAGCCAAGTGCTTTAGATCAAATGCACCTGATTTATTCATCATTATCAAGTCCTTCAACCATAGTGAGAAACTTTATTCTTATTCCCTTCAGAAAGTATTCATACCCTATGATTTTTTTAAACATCTTTTAACACTATGACCACATGGTGAAATGTGTGGTCATAATACTTAAGTTTAATGTAATAAATCAGCACAAAGATGTCCATAATTGTGAAAAGATAATTTTATGTAGATTTGTCTTCACCCCACGTTTTGTATCAGTTACCGGTACAGTCTTTTGGGGTATATGTCCACCTGACTTAGAGGCTTATATGTTTATGGCAGACTAAGTGTGCATTTAGGTAGTTTCGTTTTTTTCAATGGTAACCAATAATTGGAATCAGAATTACTGTATTAATCCCTCGCGGGAAATTATTTCCTTGTAGTTTTTTTTGCAACCATTTACAGAAGAGAGAAAATTTAGATTGTAATTACAATACAGCAAAATAAAACATAATAAGACAGAATAAAATAAGTAAAAATACTAAAATTACAACCCAGTTTTATGGACACAGACAGGAATGACTTCCTGTGGCACTCTTTGGTGCAGCGTGATGAAATGAGTCTCTGACTGCAAGTGCTTCTTCAACAAAAATATCAGTATTTTCATTTTTCATTGAAGGTATTGGATCTTATCAAAAAACCCGCCCTCTCCACTTAAAAAAAAATGCATTTTAAATATGCAATGCAATTTCAAAATGCACAACCCTGTACCCGCTCCCGAGAGGGAACACCTATTAAACTATTAAACAATTTTTTCACTATGTCAGACTCACCACCGTTAAGTGAAAATGGGGATGAGCACATAGGACGGCTTTACATAAACATATCACCAAAATGATTGACAATTAGGAGGACCACTTATTTTGATGATCCACCGGGAAAAAGAAAATCCTCCACTATACCTTTAAGCCAAAAGGTCTGAACATCCCCTGATGTTGATAACATGCAACAAATATTTCAGGATCAGATCCTTTTTCCCCCTTACAGAATAATTAAATCAAAAGTGAGCTCTCATAAAAAACAAACAAACAAACTCCTAAATTGAGCATCTCTGAGTAAATACATTTTCTTAAATGGGTCTGATCATGCACAATACTATAAATATCAAGGAATCAGACACAAGAAACATACATTTATCTTAAAATAAAACGATTTATATGCCAAGCTTTCATCCTAATGGTGTTTACTCAATCAAGTTTTTTAGTATCAGTATCAGTGTTTTCTCACACTGGCACTTCCATCCTCTCCCTGTAAAATCAAAATGCTTTTTGCAGCTTTTGCTCCAGTTTCAGGGAAGAGTGATCTTTAAATTGTATTTTGAACACTGCTCATGTCTTATTTCTCTGGGCTTCTGATATTGCTTTGTGCTTTTTCAGGCTTCATCTTAAACTTGTCTGCCATTTGATATATTATATATGTTATGTTATCAACTATTGCACTCCCTTGTTCACATGCATGTGAAATATTAATGCCAGCGTATCACTTCAACATCTTCCTAACTCCATTAAGAGTTTGTTTTACTGATAGCATGACGCTGACTTTATTGTAGAACATAAAATCTTGATGGGTTTTGTATTCTTACATCAAACAATGCCTTTGTCGAACTTATATAAAACATAAATTCAATGTAAGAGTAAAACAATACAGCAAAGACAAAGGTTTATATCATGAACACACCTCTCTGGCTGACTCATGCTTAGAAGTAGAAATAAAGCCTTTAGAAATAATGTTTAGGATCTTTTTCCAACTTAAATAAGCCCTTCTGGATTAACTTGTCATGTTAACGCTTCACCACTGGTGTGCATCTCTTACAGGTGTAAGTGGAACCAAAATGCCCTAAAACTGTTGAAAGTGGGTATCCTTTTTTTTCCAATTCATTATAATGGACACCACTTTGTGTTGAAAACTAATTTAATATTCAAATAGAAAACATTGTGGGTTGTAGCATCGCAAAATATATATAAAAATGATGGGTTATGAATACTTTTGCTGTATTTATGTGGAGGTGGATGCTCTCACTGTTTGCCCAGAAAAGGTAATGGCCCTATTATTAACAGCATTAGAAGTGGCAGTCCATGCTGGTGTAAAATGGGCAACTTTACCACTAGAAAGCCAAATTATGGCAGAAATTAAAAGCTCAACCATCATTATCGCTCTCAGAGTAGAGTAAATAAATCCAATTCTGCCCACGTTGCTCTTGTTCAATAAAACAAGAGCTGTATTGAGTGATAACATTTTAGTAGCTTCTACATGACGCACTGCTTTAGGTCTTACATAAAGTATGCCCTGAATCAGGCAAAGCAGATGTGTGGGTTAGTAATGGATGTATAGAGACATCTCTTATAGAACACGGGGGGTGCTTTAAATCTTCAATATTGGTTGAAAAGGTATAAAAGGTCCTAATTTTTAGGTTTAAAATCCGTTTTTTTATTCGTGGGGGGTGGTTTGTGTTGAATTGATCATCTTTGAAATTGATTTAAAAAAGCAGCATCAGCTAAAGGTCTCTGGTGTGACTGGCTTCCTGATAAACTCTGACATTTACCCTTTGTCTCAGTCTCAGTATTTAGCCTGAATAATACATGTAGGCAATCAATAATAGGAAGCCAGTTTAATACAGTTTGGTTCTTTTTCCCTCAATCACTATAAACCAAAAATACTTGGAGACTGGTTTTACATGGGTTTATGTAGATGACTGTTTTAGACTTCATTAGCGTTGATATTTATCGACGAAAATCTTGCGCTCAGTTTTTCCCATTTGCTCTAAATTTAAAGCAATATCTGTGTCTCATAATCCTTCTTGTCCCTCTTTTCTTCTGCCATGCATCCGACAGACAGGTTTCCACTTCCTCACCACTTTTCATCTCAAAGCAACCTCATGAAAGCATAATCAGACTAACTTCCTCCCTCAAACCGCAACAAATGTTTCCTTAAACTCCTTCTGTGTCCTGTTCTCTGTATTAACCACATCTTTCACACACAAGAAGGGAATTGATCCTTTTTCTGAACTATTCGCTTGCAGAATGTTTGATGTAGGAGGCCAGCGGTCAGAGAGAAAGAAGTGGATTCACTGCTTTGAAGGAGTAACAGCAATTATCTTTTGTGTTGCACTGAGTGCATATGACCTGGTGCTGGCCGAGGATGAAGAGATGGTAAGAACAATATCATCATGCTCTCTTAAGTGGTTCGATGAACCTGCTCTTTATCTTGCTTTCAACTCCATTTTAGTCTATTATACACTATTATTGTTATGGAGAAAACTCTTTATGGTAACTTTAGAAAATCAAACTCCACCCTCTTAAATTAGCTTACTCTGTTTTGATGTGAAGTGTGATTGAATTTAGCTTGTAAGTATCAAAAAATGACATGCCAAAATCTCCTCTATCCAGCCTCATGTTTGTATTATCGTGTGAAACAACACTGCCCCCTTGTGGTGTCATAGACTCATTGCACCAGCCCTGTATTTCCAAATATCTAAACATCTGTACAAAGCGTATATTGCAAAACTGTGACATGAACATTGGAACATTATTCAATCTGTATTGCAGTATATTAGTTCAGAGAGTTGAGCTGAGTAGAAGTAAAATGTTTGGTAGAAGAGGATCCTCGATTAACAAGAATAACTGCAGCATTAGGAGAACTGTGAAAACAAGGTGCACAAGATGTGGACTGCAGCTTGAGTCAGTGACTAAACAGCCTCCGCAAACATGCAGGCTACAGAGGTTGTTTACTTTTTTTTCAAAGCTTACCTGAACCAGACTGAATCAGAAGCCTCTTACCCTGGATACCTAGAAAAAAAACACTGGAAACTTCTTTAGAGTTTTCTGTTTAGATAAATTATGTTGCTTTAGGACCAATATGAAAAGTCCACACTTAATTATTATTTGAACAGCCTTCTCTCATGGTACTCTGGCTTCCTCCCACAGTCCAAAAACATGACTGTTAAGTTAATTGTAAGATTTGGGTTTAAAACTGCTGTACAGCAAGACCTGTGCTTCTTCTGGATTTGTTGTGTTTCTACACATACAGGTGAAGAAAAATGACCCTGCATTTAAAGTTTACCTTTTAAGTAGGGAATCTGTGTTTACAGAAAAAACAACTTGGTGGTTCTCTGATGTCTGAAATACAAGTGGGAATGTCACAGATTCCTACTTGTTTAAAAGGAACTGATAGCCACAGTAATAAACTGTTTAATTACTGTTTTAATGTCTTTCACATAGATGTGGTCATCATAAGTTTTTGTGTTGTTGAGAAATATCAAATGCAAAAAGTTAGCAGTGTTTAACTCAAATGTGTTGAGCTTTACATAAAACTAAGAAATTTGCCTAAGGAGGGGAAAGACAAATTGGAGTGTGGTAATTACTGTAATGTAAGTGTTCTAAATTATGACTATAATCTGTTCACCACTATTCACTATAAAGACTCACCTATCCAGACACATAGAATGAATATTACCAGTGTTAATGCACAAGGAGCAGACCGGCTTTGTCAAAGACAGACCCAAGATAACATCAGGAAAACACTGCAAGTTATGAGAAAAGCCACACATAAAAACTGGAGACGCTGATATTAAGTTTGGATGCTGAGAAAGCATTTGATCCAGTGAGGTGGTCATTCTTATACAAAGTACTTTTGAAATTTGGTTTTCATACAACTATATTTGATGCCTTTGCAGCACTGTATCGCAGACCACAGCTAGAATCAAAATCAATGGAAACTTAACTGATTCATTCACTCTGGAAAGAGAAATGAGGCAGGTCTTCACCTTGTTCATAGACCCTATGAGTCAACTAATTAGAAAAAAGGCTGAAATAAAGGGGGTGACAATGGGATCTGGGGAACAAAACTGGCCCTATTTGCCAATGATTTAATGAATATAACACACCCTACTCAGAAACTCCCGATACAGATTAAACTACTAGAAGAATCTGGTTTAGTTTTCAGTTCTAAAATTAATATTAATAAAAACCAAACATTAACTCTTAATTATGATCCTCCACCTTTAATTAAGACCATGTACAATCAGAAGTGGGATGCTGAATCCATTAAATATTTGGATGTATCATTACCTAGGGACTTCACAATACTGTATAACATCACCTGTGGCCCACTGAATTCAAAGATAAAACCTGATACACTAAGGTGGAATTTTATTGCCGTCTTAAGTTTATGCTCCCGGAAAGACCAATCAGTATGAATATTTTCCCAAAGATGTTGTACCTTTTTCAATGTTTACCAGTTAAAATAACATCTAGAGAGTATTTAGAATGGGATGAATTAAAAGTGAGCTATCTGTGGCCAGAATCAAATTTAAAACATTATAATTAAAAAAAGAAAGGGGGAATGGGCCTGATCTGCTTACAGGATTACTATCACGCAGTTCAGTTGAGGCCTCTAGTCCGCCCGGGAGAGCTGGGAGAAAATATATCATCTACAATGGATCAAAACTGGGTCAAACACATTGCTGGAGTTCTGTTGGAAAAGCATAAGAAGATTTTTTTTTTTTAACACACCCATTCAAAAACATCACCAGGGTAACGGGGATGCTTGTTGGAGACTCTATGGGTCTAATGGAGCCAAACACTTTCATATTTTTTGGTACTCCATAGCAAAAAAAACCCTACTGGGAAGAGATTCACAAACATATTAACAATATATTTAACTTGAAAATTCCATTGAAATGTGAAGTTGTGTTTTGGGGTAATATATTGTCTGAAATATGGATCATAAAAGACAAAAAAACTGCATTGTTGGCAGAGAGTAAGAAATGTTTCAGAAGGAAATAGTTAGATTATAATAGTAATAGTTAAAAATAGAGTCTCTCACCATCAACAAATGGATCAAGATTGTTTATGATACCTATGTTTTGGAGAATATTTCTTCTTTTTCCTTTAAAGTTGGGATAGAAAATTTTTATAAGATCTGTACCCAATGGACTGAGTATGTAAAACCAATCAGATTTGATTTTACCTGACTATACTATATTGTCTGAACCTATGCCCACCTATTTTTTTCTTTTGGTGTATTGATTGCATTTAGGGGTGCTGTTGTTTTGTTATATTGTTACCACCTGGACTAGTTTGAGTCCATAGGGAGAAAACTCCAGAAGAGCAGTATGGACAGAATTACCGTGTCTTTGACAGACTTATTTTTTCTAAGTGTGTATTGGTATAAGTGATGGAGAAGTGCCTTTCTGAATAAAAGGAGAATTTAAAAAAAGAAAAAAGTAAGCAATATGACATTTTTGTTGGGTTTTCCTATTTTTCTCCTTTCTTAAGAAGGTCTATTTCTTACAAATCCACTTTTGATTGAACCTTGTATCTTTATTTAAACAGCTTTACATTTAGGTAAATAAAACGTGTTTCTATTTCAATGATTGACACCTAACCTTTCTCAAAACTCTACTAAAATCTACCCAAGAACCACTGATGGTACAAGATACTGACTGAAGCTGTTGCCATTATCTTTTCTTCTCTTTAGAACCGAATGCACGAGAGCATGAAGCTATTTGACTCCATCTGCAACAACAAGTGGTTCACTGAAACCTCCATTATCCTCTTCCTCAACAAGAAGGACCTCTTTGAGGAGAAGATCACTCGAAGCCCCCTTACCATCTGCTTCCCCGAATATTCAGGTACCACAGTGTTACCACCACAGCTTCTCATTCCTCCCATCTTTGATAACTTAGGTTTTTCTAAACTGTTGCTTCTCAGGAGCAAACAAGTTTGACGAAGCTGCCAGTTACATCCAAACCAAATTTGAGGACCTGAACAAGAAAAAGGACACCAAGGAGATCTACACCCATTTCACCTGTGCCACGGACACCAAGAACGTTCAGTTTGTCTTTGACGCTGTCACTGATGTTATTATTAAGAACAATCTGAAAGACTGCGGTCTTTTTTAAAGGTAAGGCATAAGAATAAACGTTTTGCTGCAAAGTCTCCTTAAAAACGCATATGCAAAGTATTCACACCTCTTGAGTCTTATACAAAATCATGCTTTGCTGTTTTGTTGAAGATTCTTTTAGATTCTTTTCATTAACATTTTTGGAACAGTTTTCAGTGATTTTTTTTTTTAACCTTATGTTGATGTTTATTAACAAATACCTGTTTGTTCTCACCAAATTTATCTCTGATCCGCTGTTTTACTTCATTTTCTTGATGCTGTTTGTTTAATGAAAGACAAAATGATACTCTTATGATACTGGAGGAAAATCATTTTGGTATTTGTAGCATGTGGTAAACATTTTTTAAATTGTGCAGACTACACAATTTGTTGTTTTTGCATTAAACCTAAGAGTTATACAAATGACTATTCAAACCATGTTGATTTATAAAGGATTAAAAAAAAAGAAAGTTTGCCAAAATGCTGTACAAATCTGAAAAAATAAACAATATAAATCAAGCCAAGACTTCTAATATATATAAAAACCCTAATCAATTAATAGACTCAACGTAAAATAGAAGCTACTGGAGAAAATATGTGGTTTAAACAAACAGAAAAAAAACATTAAAACAGGGAGTTAATGTGCCTTTTTATCATTTAAAGTCCTTAATTTGATCTAACTCACTATATTTTAATCCTGGCTGTACGGTTAACACCATTGTCCCCTTTGGAAGGTAAAACCTCAAGACTTGTGATTGGCATGACTCTGAGAAGTTTAAAACTTGGATACTTGTTTCACTAATAAGTTGTTTTAGGAAAGCAGCTGGTTGCATTTGATGGTATTGAGGGTTTCACAATATAAAGGGCTAAAAGTGAATGTGTTCATAATGAATTCCCAATTAAATACATCTGAGTTTGTACATGCATTGTGGCATAATTTAAAGACTTTTCTTTTTAAGGAGTAAATCATTTAACTCCTAAATGTAAATGCTTTTGTTAAAAATTCTTCATTTCTATTTGATTTGTTGTGGATAGTTTTATTTACAGACTTAACGAACACTTTTCTCTTTTTCTTCAGGACAAAAATCAACAGACTTCTTGAGAGACTGCAATAGCCATTTGACGACTCCTGCTTTTCATAATGCAAACCATGATGTGCTGGTTTTATTTGGGAAGAGGAACCTGTCAGAACTAATCAATGTTTTACTGACATCATCTCATCCACGCTCGTCTTTGCTGGGAGTTTTTCTTTTACTCGTATTAAACAAACACAGTTTATGCTCTAATTTGAACCAAAAACATCTTAATTAGATCTGTTATATCTAATTAAATTACATCTGTTTAATTAGACACATTATGCTTGTAGCTTTTGTTGGAAACTCTATGCTTGACATCTTATTAAGTCCCAATGTTGGTGTAAATACAGCATAACTTTAAAAAAATAATTGAACAATTTTAATGCAACATGCTCAGAAGGTTTTATTTAATATTTCTCTGTTTTTGTATTGAGGTTTCTCATTAAATTTGTTTTAAACTGTAAAAAGGATATAAATTGACAGGGAAAACAACTTTTTATAATAGAATACATGCGCTTCTGTTAACTTTCTTTTTAAGACCCTTTTAAGTGCAGAGATTATTTTTAAAGGAAAACTAACAAGCATTTAATTACAAAACCAGACAAGACATTTTTTTTACACTGTTTACACAGAATCAATACTTGTATAGTGCATCTTTCTGCATGACTCGCCATAGATTAGCGTGTAATCTCCCCACATAATGATTAACCACCCCTAAGCATCTTGTTAAAAAAAAGGCAGAAATGGTTAATGTATCGATTTTAAGGTATGCGATTTTTAAATGGTAATGTCTGTTTCCAATAAGGATTGTTTTATGTCTTTTCGTTCCAAGTCTTTTTAAACATTATGTTTGTGCCTTGATATCTGTTTACACTTGTTCTTTAGAGACATGCCATCGTCATCGTGTGAATTAGGGCTATTTTTATTACACCCAAGTTCACAGGATCCATAATTTATGACACAGCACGGCACAAGATGAATAAATGACCGTTATGAATTATTATTATTATACTGAATCACTTGTTAAATGTAAATAAATTCTGACCACATTAACTTCTGGCTTCATTGTGATATATGAAGAGTGTGAAAATGATTTCTATCATCTATATAGACCAACCAATAATTTTGTGATAGTAACTGATGGGAGTCACTATTTCATATAAGTTAAAAGCCCTAAAAAGAATTCATCTTTTTTTTTTTTTTGCAGTAACATAATCTCACCCTGCAGAATTTAGTATATTATCCACCGTTTAGTGTAGAATCTGTGATGCAAGATGTCATGAAATGTTTGAAGTGATCAGCTTTTAGCTATGATGTGGTCGACTCTGTGAGAAAAAAAACATGAAATGCAATAATCTTGTCATCATTCAGTATTTTTATAATGATCTGAAAAGTACAGCCCCATTAACACGGAAAAGCCCAGAATCATCCTTCCTCCACAGCCATCATTCTGCTACAAGACACCTGACAGCTGAAAATGTTTGGCTCAACACACGGAAGGCGTCTGCTGTATTTATTGACTCTTGAAGCTCTGACTCCAGCTGCATTCCCCACTTTGTCAACTCTGTCACGGAGTCTTGTGATAGCTTTGACTCTGATAATCTTTTTCTTTTATGCGTCTTTGTCAAACATTTTCCTTCAACTAAACTTCCCATTATTGCATATAGATTAAGGCATTGTAAAAAGGAACACTACTGTTTTTAGGACTTACCTAAAAAGGGCGATAATGACCTGTTGGACAGCTATCAAGTCTATGTGTCATTCATAAACGTACCATTCTCTTTTTTTGTTTTTTTAACTGAAGTGCAAAATTAGATTTACCCTTTCTGTTAATGTGGACCCTAAATTATAATAATTAAAAAAACCTAGCAGAAATAAAAAATAAATCATTGTGTGTAATAACTAATGTGAGTTTCACACTTTGAATGGAATCAATGAAATAAATTATTTTGATCATATTTAAATCTTCAAATATATTCATATTAAAACCAAACTGATCTGTTTTTTGTTAATCGATCACATTTTTTGTATTTTTAACTATCATAGTTTATCATAGTAACCCTTAAGTCACCAAAATTGTCATTGGAAAAAAGCTATTTAGGTGTGTAGCGACGAAAATAACACAGAGAAATGATGTATTATATATAGGAATAATTGCCAACGAATCCGTTACTTTTAGCTGGTCTAGTAAAATCTGAGACAGTTTAGGGAGAGCCAGCAGGTGGCGCCATTGGGCATAAACCAGTGAACCCAATGCTGTGCTTTGGATAACACTGATTTAACGTTCAATCTGACAAAATATTGGATTAAAAACTCTATTCTATGCAGCCTTCTGAGCTCTCATAGTTTTACGTTTTTTTAAATACTTCATATTTAATAGTACATTTCAATTATTTAATTATGCATGCGGCCAATTGCTAAAAATTTGACTAAATGAAAAAGGTTAAAAATAAATTAAACTAAACTTTGAATAAAATAAATAAATAAAATAACCATTTGCTGCAGTACAATAAACAATAACACGACTAGGAATGGTGGAATCTAGCGTATGTTTCTAAGATCCAGATGTGGAGTCACAGCAGTCAGGGTGCTGCAGGAAAACTTCAATGCTGTGGTTCTTACTGCGCTTATTTTGTTTAAGGCGGCTTCCTATTGGCTGGCTTTTGCCACTACTCTGCGCTGATTGGCTGGCTTTTGCCACTACTCTGCGCTGATTGGCTGCAGCAGGAAACCTCAGAAACCTCAAATTAAACCGACAGACTTCATGAGTCTCAGAAGAGGGAGTGGATGCTGGGAGACACATCAGCACGTTATCATTTTGGATGTTAGATGGTTTAATTTACTTTGATGTAAAATAGTTTTGTGTTTGACTTAAATGTAGAAAAAGAATCAATATCCTGTTATTTGGCTTATTATTTTGGATTGAAATTCACAAAATCTTCCTTCAAGAAATGGTAAGTTTATTATCTTTTGTTCTGAATGCTTACTGATTTATACCACTTCACTTTTTTTTTTTAGAGAAATCCCATTGCTTAAGTTGGATTCACGAATAGCTCAGTAAAAGTATTGGCTACAAGGCTTTTCTTCAATAATTTGTGGACAGTGGTATCTCTCCTCCCTAACTGTAGTTTATTCAGACTTAACAGTCCCAGTTAGGGTATGTAGTGTAAATTAATTACCTCTGGCTATTGAAAGTACCCATGAGGAACTGGGGACTTTAAAAAACATTGGTCTCCCTGTGGGTGTCTCTCTATGTCCTCTATGGCCAAATGGTTCAGCACCCACAGCTGTGATAACATCATAGCAGTTTAGTGTCCTTACTCTGAACCAGACTCTAAAGTTTGAAGAGAATAATGAGAAACAAACTCCAAGGCTGCAAGTACTGAGAACATGTCTTATTTATACAGATTTTTTTTTTTGGCTAAAGAGATGTAAATTATGAGTTTATCAATCTGAAACTGGTGAAAGGGGATTATCCAAAGAGCCTGTGAGGTTAGTAATTCCACAAGGTTGCTGTCATTTCCTGTCGTATTAAACAGCAGTCAACATCCTGTGAGCTGAAGGATATGAGAGCCAACATGGTGCAGTCCAGATTAAGCTCCACTTTGTTTCAAACTTCCCCCCTTGTGCTTAGGAGGCAATGTTTTTTTCTTTAAACGTCAGTTTCAAGTGTCCCCCTTGCTGTGAAAATTGGTTTATAGTGGATTTTAATGGCATTCATTAAGCTTATATATATATATTTTTTTTTTGAATTTATGAATGTACCAATAGGAAAAAAGTGGTAAACATCTTGATGATTGGTTGTTGCAATAAGACTAGGATCAATCCATGCCTGTCAAGAGATGTAGAGTGACAGTTAAAACAGCTTTTCAAAAATATTCCAATAGGTAGGGGTTCTATTTGGAAATGATATTCGTACCTTTCACAAACCTCCTCTCCATCAGTTTGGTAGCGGACGTATAATATATTGGGGATAATTTTCTTCAACAGGAACTGGGAAGCTGCTCAGAGTAGATTGGAAGATGCACAGAGCTAAACGCATTGCAACCTTAGAGCTAAATCCATAGGAGAGCCTATCTCAACACATACATTTCTATTCTCTGTCCAATTTGACCAAGTTTCAGCTGTTTTGAATAGAATGATCCTTCAATTGTTCAGCTTTGTGAGGTTTAAATACTTTAACAAAGCAGTGCATAAAGGTATTCTTAGAGTCAAAATGCTGATTGTAGTTAATCTTAATGTTTTGCATAGATAATTAAGTATTTTGTGTGTTTCTCCATCTTCAGCTGTGTTTGGGAAACTCCACTGACTGCCTACGGGACCAAATGCAGTCCATGATGAGATCCTTGCAGGACTTGAAGCAGATAAGCAGGCCGAGACCACTCAGTGAGCCATGTGCTCAGTCTTTTGCTGTCACAAGGCTCTGCAAACAGAGAGCGCAGCAGGGGCGACTCTGCCGTCTCCGCTCGTCCGATTCCAGTGAGGCCAGCACCTATGACTCTGCCTGCTGCCTGGCCAACTCACTGGAGGAGGAAGAGCAGCAGGAGAATGATGGACTAGCACAAGGTTCTCCTGGCAGTGAGAAGAGTGTGGACTTAGACTCCGGTTTCTCGGAGGCTTCCTGGAACGATGAAGGGGTGGTGCTGAGAAGGACCAGAAACGTGCGCGTCTCCTCCTCCGCCTGTGTCCGGACAAACAGAGGATCATCCATCCGGCCTAAGTCAACATCTGACGTCTGCCTGGAGCGCTGGACTTCTTTCGAGGCGACCGATACAGAGGACTGGACCACATCTCTGCTGAGCCGCAGCAGGAACAGACAACCTTTGGTTCTCGGGGACAACAGCTTTGCGGACCTCATAAAGAACTGGATGGACCTGCCTGATTTACCAGAACCAGCTGAAATAAAGCCAAGCGCGGGCCGGCGCCTTGCAAAAGACATTTTCGGCAACATGCGTCGGAGGTTGGCAGGGATGTCTAAAGGTGTGGAGCTGAGGCCAAAGCCAGCAGATTCCACACGGTTAAGAAGAGCAGCAGAGGCTCCACAGAGGATGTCCTGTCCCGTGGGATTTGAGCCTCTCAAACCTTTCTTCCATCAGTCTCACACAGGGCTGCATCAGCTGGAAACTGATTACTATCAGTTCTCTGCACTCATGAAGACAGGCAGCCGGCAGCCCATCATATGCAACGACATCATTGGATACATTTGAACGTGTATCATTTAAGCCAATAGAACTTAAAGACTTTTGTTCATGAATAAAATATTCTTTAATTTATTAAAAAAAAATTTTCTATTTTTGTTACAATTAAGAAAATGACTTATTGGACAATAAACAAGTTTAAATCCTTAAGCACACATAAAGGGTATGTTTCTTATGGATTATGCACAAATGACATGTTTAATCTGTTACACAGTGCAGATACTTCAGCATATAAATCAGATGGGTTACTGTAATAATCTCAGTGTTAATCCACACTCTAATCTTATAATTTACCATATCAATAGAGCAGTGCAGGTTTTGAAAAATTAAATGGAGAGTGTGGAATGATTATGAGGTTGAGCTTAAGGCCAAGACAGAGACAAGCATCTGAGGAGGGATGAAGGCCTTGTAGATGATTCTTGAGTATTTGAAGGGAAGTTTACTCAGCAGGGAGTATGATCATACCATAGTCTGTTTATACATAGCATCATCTACCTTTACAAGCCATAGGCCACTGCATACATGGACACATTTCAAAATTTGCCTCATAAGTGTTAAAAAACAGATGCACCTAAAGATTTTGCATAATAAATAGCATTGAAAAGCCAGGTTTCAAAAGGTGCAAAACAAAAGTTCAAAACACTAAAGACATTCTGCATTCATTCACTAAGATAAATTATAAAAATCCTCTGATCCCACTGATAATTTAAGTAAGTCAAGTATCTTTCTCAAGATTTCATATTAAACACTATTTTGATCTCTATTTAAGGCAGCTAACTTGGATCAACTACATCAGATGATTAACCCTGATCAAAGAAAAAGAGATATGAGAGACCCCCAAGTAACATTCATTAGAATAACATAACCACATTTTCCCCCAAAACTATTTTAATTTAGATCATTATAGATATTTTTGTCTCAATCAACAAAGAAACAGAAGGTCACAAGAACAAAAGCAAAAAAAGTTGTTTTATCACATAAGAGTAAAAATTGTACATAAATATTTGTACAATTGGTCTGATTTTAAGGAAATAGTCATTAATAAAGTTCACATTGTAAAGAAAAGATAAAAACAGAAACACCTGTAAAATCATTCATACAGCAATTTTGGCAAAAAGAGTAGCTTTAAATCATTATAATTAGTCACTAGTTATTCAATAATATCCCCACTCAGGAGAGTAAAACCAGAAGAATCAATATATTTTTATGGAATTCATCACAGGAGCATGTACCTGATGCTAGGTACCGTTTCACAGTCTTCATCTTCAATGAACGAAGGGATCAATTCTAACATCTTCTTGTGAGGAGGGATTTCTGCCTTAGTTACTTGTTTCACTAAATCTGACACTCTGCAAAAAAAAAAAAAATACACATAATAAAAGGTTTGTCCAAAATATAAATTAAGATGATTCATGTTCTCAAATGTATGCTTAAGTTATTAAAACAGTAGGAACCTTAAAGGTATAGTGGAGGATTTTCATGAATTTTTAAAAAGAAAATTAACATTGCACAGCCCTGTATCCGTTCCTGAGAGGAAATGCCTATTAAACGTGTGCGAGAGCATGCATGAGCCTATTTCTCCTCGTGCATGGTCTGTTTAAAAGTTGCTGTTTGCATCGCTCATACAAGCTTACTTTCCAAAAGTTTTACAATTTTTCCACTATGTCAGACTCACCACCGGTAAGTGAAAATGTGGACGAGCACGTAGGACAGCCTTATGAAAACATGTCACCAGAATGATTGACAATTAGGAGAACCACTTATTTTGATGATCCACCTTTCATACTTACAGAGGGAGTTTCTGTCTAGGAAACAGTTTAATGTGGGGTACGTAATACATAATTTTATAGTTATTAGAAAAATTATACAATTATGATTTGATTGTTTTTTTCTATTATTCTGACAAATAAAACTATAGAAAGTGTAAACACAAAATGTTTTCAACCCCTCTAAGTCAAAACACATATATATATATATCAGCCTTAAGGCACTACCAATATGGGGTGGAGAGCTTTATTAGAAAAAATTCAAACCTTTTTTTCTTATCTGATAGAACACTGCCACCCTACAGTACTTGTGGCAAACTTTAAACAGAACTTCCTATAGTTTTATTTCAACAATGGCTTCATTGTTGCAAATATTTTAAGAAGATCAGATATGTGAACTAAAAATTATATTTGTCAAGTCAACAGATTCCCCCACTTCAGCTGTGGATCTCTGCAGCTCCTCTAGAGTTACCATGGGTATCTGAATTTATTTTAATGATGATAGCTGTCCAGGAACAGCTGGTCTGTTTAGCTGGGTGAGTGTCTCTTAGTAAGTGTGCTGCTTCCTTCATCTGTTTTTATTCTCTGCTAATAGATTGAACATGTCTCTGTAAGATGTTCAAAGCTTTTTACAACCTAACCCTGCTTTGAACCACTACCCAACTTTCCCCCCGAATTGTCTGCTGTGTTCTTTGGTCTAAATGACACCATTTGTTCACAAATATTCTCTAACAACCTTCAAGGCCTTTGCTGAACAGCTGGATTTTCATTTATATTAAATTTATTTAGGGGTTATGAGAGTAAATAAACTTAATACAAATAAATGTCACACTTTTCAGACTTTTCCTTTCTTTATTTAGAAAACAATATAATTTCCCCTCCATTTTACAACTGATTGCTAGTGTGAATTTATGTATAACATAAAATCCCAACTAACTACGATTAAGTTTGTAGTAATACTATGTCGAAAAAAACCTCAGTTGATATACATTATTTTGCAACTGGATTTCAGATATTCAATATTAATAAAAGATAAAAACCCTGAAAAAAACCTTCCTCTTTCTGCCAAAAAAATTACTTATTTTTAAAAACCTTTGTTTTTAAGAGAGTGAAAACTCAATTGTGAAAACAATTGGACTGTAGTGATGTCCCTCTGCACCATTGTATCAAAAAACTGACTATCTTAAATGTTTACACTCTTTCCTCCTTGTAAAAAGTCTCGGAAAAGTCAAAATTCAGTGAGCATGAAGCAGACTGAATCTAACGTATCCTCTCTTATAACATATAACATAAAACATATTTTATTGTTATTATCATGCTTTTTCTGGATTATTATCTTCTTAACAGAATAAATTACATTAGAACTGAAACCAATCAGTCCGTGAACAATAAAAATTGTTCTCTTCATTTTGTGTTTTCTTAGTGGTGTTTGTCAGGTTTTGTGTTTTTCATTCCACTTTCAGCGACTCGACACAGGAAGCTTGGGGAAGGGCAACTGAACAGGAAGTGACTGCTCTTGTGCACATATATCAAATGAAGCCTGGTGTCCACACGGTCAGTGCTCTGCCTCTCTTTCCTGCTACTTAATCTAACCATAGCAGCAGTACAGAATAGGATGTCAACATTTGTGAGTTAATATCAAGTCTGTCCCAAAGGTCTGTAGCATTGGACTTTAGAAAAGTATTAATGAGAGGAAAAGAATCAAAATAAATCCTGCTGTATCAGCTTTATGCTGTGATTAAATAGTTTAGCTGAGGAGGAGATTTCACACCATGAGGCTCATTTGCCTGGGGGGTATAACCACTGCAGAAATCAACAGGCCCAAACAGAGTGACTTCTAGGCTCCAGAAGTTTATTCTAATTTAACTCTTTGACACTTTTGCACAACAAACAAAAACTGGAGGGGATGTCTTGGTCAACTGTGTGCAGTGATGCATGTGTCTGTGTGTCAACAGTATCTATCCTCACAGGCTCAGAGGAAACAACTCAGATGGCCATTAGGACCCAAAACAAACAAAGGAACCTTGCGTTTTGAGGTGTGACCACAGCCACGAGGGGACATCATCCTGGATCATCTTAACTGGACATACCTCATTTTCAGCCTGTCCTCTTGTCCCATGTATAGCATAGCAGTTCCATAAAAAAGCCCAGAGATGGTCAAGTCATTGGTTTCCTGCAAATTAAAAATAGATATTTAAACTTCTGCATGGGAACAGATCAGCTTCAACAATGTGATATCTAAAGCGAGATAAAAACTGTAAAATTAACACTAAATTACATTTTTGTTGTTAAATGTAATTTAAGACATTCTACAGAATGTATTAAAGGTGTGTATTCTGGACAAACATAAATAATAATTTATTAGTCAGGTGTTCACATATACTAGATGCACCCAACATAAATAGCAAATCAAAAAGGACAAGAGTAAATATGTTTGACATCTATTTAGTATACTGGAAATTAAATGTATATGTGCAAAATTGTTGACATTTTACAAAATTTGCAAACACCCTGCAAAACCGAGGAACCCAGCTCAATAAAATTGTTTCCATTTCCCATCTAAGAAAATTATTGCATCTATTCAATTTCCAAAATGTAGAAAATTGCAACTAAGAATAAAAGAGCATTACTGTTGACTTCTATGTTTCCAAGATAGATTAAATGTAGACACTTATCTTGAAGTGGTTAAAAGCAGATCTTAACAGGGCATTCACCTAAAACAATTGTCATTGTTGAATTGCGTGCACTGCAGGAAGCCAAGCAAGTTTGAGAAAACAAATCCTATAAAAAGTGCAGTGCATAGCAGCGGGTGTGAAGAAAGTGTGTGTTTCCTTTTGTACCTTCACATGCTGGATGAGATCTGCCAAGGTCATTTCCTGCTGATTGCAACGTCTCCCTTCAACAAGGAAATCATCCCACAGGGTGTACTTCTTTCCTGCGACCTGCCGATAGACATGTTACTTGATTAAACATTAAACCGCAACACACAGACACAGAGCAAGCTGACAGACGAAGGACGGCTTGCTGTGAGAGATGTGCAGAGCACGCCAGCTGAGAACAATCAGCACCCAGAGAACTATGAAAAGGTCAAAAGGTGCCTTCTGTAGGGAGATTTTATTTAACTAAGGTTCCATCTTTTTTAAAGTTCCTGTGATCCTTATATATATATATATATATATATATATATATATATATATATATATATATATATATATATATATATATATATATATAATAAATCCAGGACATCACTTTGAAATTTTAAAAAATTTATTTTAAATCATAGCAAGATTTCTGGTCTTCACAGACCTTTAAAGTGTTATTAAAGAAGCTTGTCTTTCCTCCACTTGCTACCTGTATTAATGCACCTGTTTAAACCTCTCCTTTAAATCTCCAAAAATCCTACACTTGTCCCAGGCATCACACAGCCAAGCCAACTTTACTACGTCACGTGTGCTCCATCGTCTACCATAGAATGCCGTGCAGCAGCCCTCACTGATTGCATGCACTGCCTATCCATGCATCGCCTCTTATTTTGAAAATGTACCACATCGGCTTTATATTTCCTGTGTCTGACGTCCTTTGTGGCTAATTTAGTGACACTTTGACACTTTTTGCCAGGTCAGACAGAGTTTATCTGTATATGTGATGAGCTGAGCATCAAGCTGCAGCGCAACAGAGATGGTCGGAATATTTGCGATGGAACGGAGGACACATGGATGAAGGAGTCTGTGTGAATAAGTGGTCAGACTCAGATTTAAATCATTTCCAAGACCCAAGAAATTGCAGAGCTGCACAAGACAGGGAAGAATGAATCTACTATAGTCTACTATAGGAAAGACGGTTGGTGCAAATAGATAAACAGTGGTTACAAGTGTAACAACATGGGAGACAAACAAGATAATTGATGATCTCCCTTGATCTGAGGTCCCAGGAGAGATCTATATGATCAAGAGAATGGTGAGGAAAATCCTAGAAATACAAGGAGGGACCTGCAGAGAGTGGGACAAAAACAATGGCTACCACCATGATAAAAATTCACTTATCTGATACTCAGGTCAGATACGAGATGAATGACTCAGATCCAGCATCCTGATCCAGCCCTTTTATATAATACACAGGGTGAAGTTCTAATAAATAACATACGTACTATGCCGAGAGGGACTCAAATCATCCAGTGCCTTGAATCCCCCCTTTCCTAACCCAGTACACATCCAGGCCCTGCTGTCGTTTACCAGCGGGAAAAAAAAATCAAGACCTTGAGAGACAAGGCATGATTCTGGACAATTATATAAATCCTTTAATATTACTTTAGCTTTTGCAGATTTAAAGGGCTCAGAAGTTCCTAAAATCCATTTTTTCTGTAAGCCAAACTTAAAACCTCCAAATGAAGGTGCAACGAAAAGCCAGACACCAGGAGAAAGTATTTGAACCCCTGCAAACATGAACATGTTTACCTTAAACATTATAATCCACATGTATAATACATAAAGAATAAGCATCACCTGACTTAACTGGGTCAGGATTCCTCACATAGACGAAGTAAGACAAAATATGTTGCCTGGTCAGACGCTCCAGCTCACACACATGTCTGGCAAGAGAAGCTGTGAAGACCAAAACTTGGCCTGAGTTGTGAATACCAAAACCTCAGCTGAACCTGGCTCCAATTATCTCTGCTCCAGCAGCCAAGGGGAACTTTTTCGACTAGCCCTCGCAGCTCCCACCACTTACTGAGGTTTTGAGTTGTAGAGACACGCTTAGAGCATATTTTCCCCCAGGTTTATAAAGCTGATAATGTTTTGGTACCGGTTTTCAGACAAGAACTGCTCATTTTCAGGATCCACATCATAACACTGGGGCTTGTTAGTATTTGGAAATTCTTGTGCCAAAATGGATAACAGCTTAAGTTATACACAAGAAGAACAACTGGAAATGACAAAAAAACATATTTTTCTAAAGCAGCCTCTTTGTTGCAAAACCAAAATGGACCTTAAGTGGTCCCATACCATCTGCTTTCAGGATGGTCTTTGTGTGTAAATGCTGATTCTACACAATGCAAAGTAGGCGTGCAGGTTATTTTAACACCATCTCCTCCCTTCCTCTAGCCTCAGGCATACAAAAATAGCAGGAACCTGAAGTAAACCAAATTATATTCTTTTTTGCATACCCATGTATGTAAGATATTAAAGGAGAAACTACAGCAAAACAGTTCAGCACAAATGTTGGGACCAAACTGGAAACAATTACAAATGGTCTCCCACAAGCACAACAACTGTTTTATGGAACTGCCACAGTAAAAACAGTAGAACAGTTGCCCTTGGGGGTAGAGATGGGAACAGTAAGCCAGAAAGCGGTTTCCTTTTTAGGACAATACTAAAACACTAAAAATGAGAATAAATATGATTTATTTATTTATAATATCAAAGAAATCCTTAACATTGAATAAGTAGTGGCACTCATAGTGGATAATTTGCACACACAAGCTGAGCCAACGAGATAATTAACAGGTTTCACATGGCTCTACAGCGGAAAGAATTGCAATTAGGTTTAGAATCAATAGTTCAGTGTAAACATCTCTACTGCTGTTTAAAGTTAGCGTCCAACCTCGATAAAGCAGGCAAGATCTTTATTTCTGTGCTTATAGTAAATAGATCCAACATGAAACATGAAAAATGAAAAATGAAAGGAAGTATTGAGGTAAGTAAAGGGTTTCTATGTGGGAACTAGAAAAGTAAAGGATTATTGTAATTTCCTGATTTGGTTACGGTAAGTATGGAAAAATGTAACAGGATAATGATTTAAAAAAATCAATCAATAAACCATCCGTCCGTCCGTCCGTCCGTCCGTCCGTCCGTCCGTCCGTCCGTCCGTCCATCTATCCATCCATCCATCCATCCATTAACAGGGTGACTATCTTTATCTTGCTTCAACACACATCTTTAAATCATTGCTGATGCAGGTCCTGTACTTACAGCCTGACATTTGATATAAAATTTGCCATACATTTAAATACATTCTTGCAAATACAAAAGATAGAGATAGATACAGTTAAAAGGAGCCTTTTAAAAGGAGCTTTAAAATTCTCCTTTTAGCTTCCTTTAAAGCACATCAGCTGCTCAGACTGTCAGTTACCCAAACAAACATTGACATTTCAACTTCCTGTTCTATCCCCATTGTAATACTGAAACAAATAAAAAACAAACAATAGCAAACACTTTTAAACAATCCAAATGCAGAAACTGTTTCCCCTTCAAAAAGAGTTTACATGAAAACCCCATATAACTTCTCTAGATGAATTTCCCAAACATCTGACCCAATTGCAGGCTGCTTCCTTTTGTTGACAGGAAATCTGAAGAGTCTCTTGTCTCTTCCTGAAAAATCTGAAGCCAAACAGTAATTTATAATGTTCTAAAATAGATCTCAGCTATAAAAAAAACAAATACATATAAATAGTTGCTTTGATTCTCCCTCTTAAACAGGCTAGAAGCTAATGCCTAAGTGTAAATCCAAATACTGGTCGAAATGATTTGCTTTACAAAACAGAACAAAACAATATATTAATTCAGTATTTTACTAAATAATTTACTAAAAATGTAATTATTGTGTTGATGACTTGCCATTAATATTTTGTTAACAGTTTTAAAATCGAATATATCAGCTTTAAGAAAGGCCCTTCAAAATATCTTTACCACAGCTCTTTAAAAAGTACTCTTACTTCCTAAAGGTCTGTGTGCAGATCCTTAAAGATAGTATGACTACAAAATGTATTTATGTACCCTATGTTTATATGAAAGCTGCCAAAAAAAAGTGAATTTTTTCACCTTTTTTCTCAAAGATGAGACAAAATAAGGATTTACTAAGTTTTTATGACTTATCCAGCACTTCAGAAAAAATTAAGTAACCCATAATTAGTTTTCTTTTCAAACAATCAATATTGGTAATCGTTTTACCTTTTTATAAACCTGGGTGTAAACTTTTTTTATTCAATAGAATTAAACAATAAAAGTATTATGTCTAATTTGTAATAGACAGTTAACAGTAGAGGTTTTTTGTAAGTCTCAATGCTGTCTTAGAATAAACATTAGTTTGCTTAACTCTTGTTCAAGAAAACCTCTGACTATTTGTGTAGGACAGTGAAGATACTCCTACAAAGAACTAGATTTAATAAGAATAAGAACCAGATCTTACAAAGGTTAAGAGCATGAAGACTTTTCAAATTAGGGTGAATTAAATTTTTAAAACTTAAAATGTATTTAGCTTTCATTGTGCTTTTGTACCGTGTGTGTAAAGAGGTGCAAGGTTAGACATTTCCTGCATCCATTAGATGTCAGAGAAATCAAATACTTGATTCTGAAACCAGAGTGGGATCCACTCCAGTTTTTGCTACTGCCTCCCCCACTTAGAGTTATCTGTGGCAGACAGAAACCATTGGGATCACTGGGCTTACTCTAGTCTTCCCAATTAAACATTTAAGGAGCTGGACATCTAAATGTTTCGGTCCTTGAACTTACAGTGTGCCTAAAGAACTACCTCTGCAGAGGCTCGTTTCTATCTACGCTTCATTATCGGCCCCAAATTCCAACACTGGAAACGTTTTTACAACCCACTGTGGCTGGAGGCCTGTTTCTTCAAAGGCATCTTTTTTCTCTTAAATGGCTTCAAAGTAAGTTTTTAGCAAAGTCAGATGGTGGATTTGTGTGGCCTCTTCACATCATATTTACATCTTAATCTTTTTTAGCCTGTCTTAACTTTCCTTTCTGCAGACTTACTGGCAACTTGGAGCCATGATTTTGACCTGATGTGAGCCTCAAAGTCATGCTGTAGTAAAATGCAATGGTTGTTTCAATAATCCAATGATCCAATCAACCCCAATAAACAGTGGATGTCTGCTTTACACTCTGTTCTTTTTTTTTTAGAAACATATTTTCTCTTACTGACCTGA